GCTTTTCAATGCACTGTACCATTCATATGCACGTGTTTTTGATAAAGTCGATTCACCGTAAGCCTTCTGTAACATCTTCAGCGATTCGGCACACGAAATTCTATTTGCAATACAAAATTTGAGACAAATTCTTTGTTCGATCTTTTCATTCATTGTAAAAATCGCAAAACACACTTGAGATGAACTGATAAAATCGAGCACGATAATCACATTAAATGACAGATGGCACTCCAGCTCCGCGTCAGTATAGAGGACAGTTATGCCAACTTAGCGACAAAAAGAATTTTGACAATTCCTTTAAGCGGGCTTTTTAAATGATCAATTCCCGGTATTTTTTTGACAGAATGTATTAGCCTTTATTTTTTTTGCTTCTATTTCTACAAGCGTCCCCTAACAGCACAAAGTCGATTCTAAGTCGACTCTGAGTCGACTATAGCTTCTAGATGTCTGAAAAATGGACGTCCGTAAGTCAACTGTAGCCGACTTGAAGATGTCTTTAAATCATACAATATTCCACTTTAAAGACGACTTAAGTCGACTTTAAGTCAACTATCATATAGACATTCTATGATGTAACACGCATGCGCACCTTCCAATGGCGGAAATATTTAAATCGGGAAAATCTAGGTGTTTTTCTTACGGCGTTTTCCGTTGGGATTGTACTCATGCAGTATTTCCATAAGAACGTGTGCAAATTTGCACTGCCTCTGTGCAAATATATATATAATATATAATTTTAACAGTATATACTCTTATGGAAGCAGTTCCAAGGAAAAATATCATTAGACTATTATTTATAAAAATCAGTATATTATACTCTAAAAAGTATATAGATATTTATTATTTGTATTGGGAGTACAAATAAGTTTCCGCCGTTTGACAAACAATGGCGCTACCAGTATGTTATAGTTAAAATTGTCAGCTGTAAAACGTCATATCGTAAGGTTGGACATCTGGCAAGAACATAACCTTGAAATATTAGCGATTTTGCATCAGCATCTTATATCTTTTTTCGTGCGAAAATGTCGAGTTTTGAGCCGAATAAGCATCATTTGC